TTCAGTGCGCCGCGGCATGGTTACGTATCACCCTGACGTCAACTCCTTCACAGGCATAGGACACACATACATGCACACACTAAATGCTTGTACATGCATTAAGCACATTAGTAATGTATGCGCAAAGAAAGACAGGCAAACTTTGTTTTTTTCCTAACTTTTCAGCTGAGAAAATATCACCTAAGGCAATTTTGGTTATGCACCATGATCTTGAACTTGTACCCTCGCGGGTGTCAATTCATAGTTCAGTGCGCAATTGAAACAACACTTTGGGTAACCCCAGGAACGAGGCGCTCCCTCTCTGGAGAGGATCTAAAGCTGACACATATGGAAATAGTGAGTAAGGGTGAGGCAAGGGGAGCGAATGAAAAAAAGAACAACTGAATTGAAAGGGAAACAAAAGAAAATCTCTCAGAGCAGTTCCATAAAACTGATTGATGACTTCCCTAGAGGACTGTTTCCCAGGTGTATGCTTGTGTGTACCCATGCTACAGAGCATGCCTCTTTAAGGTTTGATGTTTCTGGATGCTTGTCAAGTACAACAAACTTAATTGAGGGATGAACTGGTACAATTGAGCATATCACATATTCTTGGCATTCTTTCACCCCACAGATCAGTTTGATTGGGGTACTGCAACACACAAAAGTGTCTGCTAGATCTATTACACCATGTGATATTGAAAGCAGGCTGGAGAAAGTCCAGACATTGAAGCAGACAAGGAGAGTGTTGAAGAGAAGTGAGCGGCAAGAGTGAATGTCACCAAATGGAGGTGAGAGCTACTGTGGTCAGACTGCAAAATAGTTTAGAAAATACACCTATAGATTTTATAACGGCACTTCATTTGTCAGTATTATCAAGTTATGGATTTCATTTATTGTTAAAAGAAAAATACCCAGCGCTTGAGTATTAGCTTTGATTGCAATTAGGTTCTGTAACCTCTTAAATATGAAAACCAGCTTTAGTCATTCATCACTGCAGTTTTTTTTCTCCAGCTTCTTTTGTTGTTTGAACTCGTCTCATTTCCACTCATTTCATCCTTAATTAGATTTCAAGTATTTGATGATGCAAACAGTGCAAAACTGTGTTTGGTTTTGAAACATCTGCTCGTGAGAGCTTTGTTTTTCCAGAGACGAAAGGAAGTCAGAATCCTTGGCATAATGTCTGTTTTGATTTCAAATGAAACACGTCATTATTAATTCCATGGATACACATTTCATAACAGTTTGGATCAATTATCACATAGAATAACATTCAACATTTGATGGGCAATCGTGCCAAAAAAATACATAGTTTGATATAAGATGGCAGAAATGCAGGCTCGGGGAAGGACAAAATTATCTTTATTTTTTGTTTTTAAAATTTAGGTAAATGTTACCTCTAAAACCACAGTCACGTTTGTATATTTCCTCTGTTATTTGAACACAATAAGGGTAAATAATAAAGAATAAAAATTAAAAAATTCGTTCAAATTACTGTTTTCTACAAGTGTTAGAATTTATATTTCTGTTGAAGTCAAAAATGCTTTATCCTGTTTGAAAAGTGACATTTTGAGGACTAAAGATTCAGTATCAGAATAGTGTAACTTGGTCTAGATCAGTTCCCACTTTATAGTTCTTTTCAGTTAGAATGCATAAGCAGGCTAGCGATGTCTGCATGTCTAGAACAGGCACATGTTCCCCAGATTATTAGATTCTAAATACTGTGGTCTGCAGAAATGTTTTCTTTTCGAAACTATTCTGTAGTATTGAGTGATACACTGGTTTGGTATTCAATGCATGCATTAAAAACAAATGTTCACACTGACATTGAATTCTGTGATGTAGATATACTGATTAAGAAAAAAAGGAAAAAGCATGATCTGTACTATAGTGCACAAATGACCCAAACAAACAATAATTAATGACCAGGAACAAAAGCACTGCACTGGTAGTAAGTCATGCATGTGTGATTAATAATGTTTAAAAGAATGTGTAGTATAGTTAATGACTGTGATTGGTCATAGAAGTCATTAGCAGCCGGCCCTGCTTTTCTTTCAATTTAAATGTTTGTAAGTGGGAATTTAAGAAGTTTTTAAACAAACACACATTAGGAAAAGTGAGAGTGAGAAATGAATGAAAAAATGCACTATATGACAAATTTAAATACACAATCAATTTGCGTACAATTTTAGATGTAATAAAAAAAATTATTTTATTAAAGTAAAAAGAAACAAATAGCTATAATGTAATATCACTTTCAAAGCATTCGTTGTCATTAATTATATTCCAGTATAGTGAGTTGGAACCCTTATCTATAAATGTAAGCCAGATATATTCAACAGGATATATTCTTTTTTAGTACTGTATATGACATAAAATCAGAAATCAGCAACAAATTTTTTGTATACATATGACTGCTATTGAATTAGCATACTTACATCACTGAAATGAAGCTGTTTTAGTTGCATGCCCCACAAGTAGAACGTAGACAATTGCCTTGTGTGAGTTACCTTGATACAGAAGGGATATTGCTCTAAAACTGCTCCAGGTGAGGCTCGAACTCACAACCTCGGCATTGCTCTGCTTTGTACTGCTGTATAAGTACCGCGCGCTAACCGGTTGCGCCACTGGAGCTTAGGCTGGCCGTTAGAACAAACCCAATCTGTCCATCTAATACAATAATAGGATGAGACGCATGTTTTCTAAAACTTGGACAAGGGAACGTAACACGGATCTCTCGGTTCCTCACTGGTGATGATGTCACACATAAATCTTTCAACTTAAATTATCAGTTTATCCACACGGACAGTTAGTCACCCAATCAATGAACCAGTTTATGAATGGACACAGCTGGTTTTTAGTTTATGTTTTAGGACTCTACAGCCCCCTAGTGGTGTCTAAGACGTTTAAGTCCCCTTTTGGTCGCCATTGTGGCATTTTTCTTTAAGAACCTGGTTAGTAACTAGTTGTTTCCTAATTAAGGTTCGATGTTGCAGTGAACGCTGTGGGCGTTATTGTAAGTGTGTTATGATATGATTGATCTTCGACAGATCCATAAGCATGAATTCACTTTTCATGAGTCTCATGACTCATGTGTTTAACCACTAGGTGTCAGTTGCACATCATATAGCTCCAGCCAATTGGGATCAACAAGAATAGATTATCTTCATACAAAAACTTTTACAAAATTGTAATAATTTTGTGTTGGAATATCAAGGTTACCTTACTAAAACATCCGAAAAATTCCCTTATGCACAATAAGCAAAAACAAAGACAAAAGGCATCCTGCAACTTAATTACTTACACTATTAAATATGTCTGGAGTTTTTGAACTAATGAGTTACCATTTAAAGACTCTTTAATTCAAAGCAACTGACACTTATGCCACCGTGAGAACCTCTGGAGACAGTTACAGTACATCCCTTAATTTAGGAAAGCTTTTATTGATAATATCCCTACACTTAAACGTTTTCTTGAAGCTGGACTCTTGTTTAATTTGTCCTTTAAATTGCACCCGGAAACCCCCGCGTTTTCGACATAAGCGATTGCAAAACGCGGTGTGGAGAATTTCACGTCGAGTTTATGTTGGCTAGAGGACATATGTGACCCTGGACCACAAAACCAGTCTTAAGTCGCTGGGGTATATTTGTAGCAACAGCCAAAAATACATTGTATGGGTCAAAATTATAGATTTTTCTTTTACGCCAAAAATCATTAGGATATTAAGTAAAGATCATGTTCCATGAAGATATTTTGTAAATTTCCTACCATAAATATATCAAAACTTAATTTTTGATTAGTAATATGCATTGAACTTCATTTGGACAACTTTAAAGGAGATTTTCTCAATATTAATTTTTGATTAGTAATATGCATTGCTAAGAACTTCCTTTGGACAACTTTAAAGGCAATTTTCTCAATATTTTGATTTTTTGCACCCTCAGATTCCAGATTATCAAATAGTTGTATCTCGGCCAAATGTTGTCCTATCCTAACAAACCATACATCAATGGAAAGCTTTATTCAGCTTTCAGATGGTGTATAAATCTCAATTTCGACAAATTGACCCTTATGACTGGTTTTGTGCTCCAGGTCATGTTAAAAGTACTCCAGGTGAGAACCGAACTCACTATTTCGGCATTGCTCTGTTTTGTATTGCCTGATAAGTATCGCGTGCTAACCGATTGCTACTGGAGCCTTACGTTTATGCTGTATAGGCTCGTCAACTGACCTTAAATAGTTAATTGGACAGGATCGTTTGACTTCTTGAAAAGACTAGCAAATGAGGAGCCAGACCAAAAGAGCTCCTACAGGCACTTTGGCCACACTGTACAGGTTACATCAGGAGAAAATATCTTTAAAGTACCCCACAGTAAAAAATCCTAAAACCAACCTTTTGGTTTGTGCATGGATGTTCAATAATAAATACGTATACAATTCCACATCCAATTCATCGGTAAAAAAAAACTGTTAGTGTTTGTAGTTGCTCTAACACGTCCCTATAAGATAATACACAATAAAAAGGCACATTTCAGTGTCTTTCTTCATTATTGGTAACATATAAAAGATAAATTCAAGATGTCAGCATGGACAGAGGTAAAATACCAAGGACTATTCACATGCCATGATCTGGCAAAAGTAACAGATTTGGAAAAATTTTAACACTGACAGTTCGTGTTTAACGCCATGTTCATGTATTTGGAGAAAAATACTTCAATGTTTCCTTGGTTCCTGTAGTTTTGTGCAAAGATGTCATACAGGTCGTATGCATTCATCAACCATTATGGCTCTGCTTTCACATTTCTCCTGCGTCATGGTTCTGTCTTCCATTCTCTCCCTCACTCTCCTCTTTGGATCCCTTTACACCCATGTCACCTTTCCATACCTCATTCAGGCACTCTGAAAGAGATAAAATAAGGCTTGGAAATAGTGGCTTATTTGTAAAGGAAGGATTAGATTACGAGTCTGTATGTTCGTGAATGCTAAGAGACACAGAGTGTATTTCTACCTTGGTCTGAGTCTCAGAGGACATGGGCTGCACAGAAGAATCTGTCAAATCTCTCGTCTTGATGATGAAAGTTCCAGTTCTCCACAACCTCTTCATACTCTTCCAACATGCTCTCACACTTTAATATAAACATAAAAAGGGATAAGATATATATTTCAATATTTTTTATTTATTTAGAAGACAGTATATTGATCTTTTTTTTTTACATTCATACCTACAAACTGACAGTCCAGTTCAATAAACACTATACAATATTATTATTAAGCTCAAACAATAACTACATATAATTTAAGAAGACAAGAACATGCAACCACACCATCCACAGCTCTTTCTTTGTTAGTGCATGAGTATTACCTGTCTCTTCAAGTCTGCAACCTCTACTGATGGTTCATCCCACAGTTCATAAGGGATACCCAGCTCTACCTTCACTCCCTTATCCATCAGGTTCTTCAGTGTGTTCATGGTTTGACTTGTGCCCTGGCAAAAACAGCAGTCTAAAATCAATCATCATTTTGCAAACAAAATCCACACATTTAAAGTATTTCTTTAAATGAGGATTGACTGAATGTCATGCAGTTGAGGGCTAGGAAAGAGTGCCAAGGTGAGCTCAATACCTTGGCATAGCGAAGGCTCCCTGGTCTCTCGGCATGGATTTTATACTGCAGAATTCTTTCACAGACGTTGTCCATGGCCTCAGTCAGTTGCGTCTCTCTGGTAACAAATAAATCGTAATAATAGCAAGAGGAGGGAGAGCATTAGCAGATTTGGATTTTTTTCTAACCTTAAGGGAAAGCTTTCTCATAGGGACAGAACTGACAAGTCAGTATGTCATCACTTCTTACGAAGTGTTGTATTTGATTTTGCGCCTGCACTTGCCAGTGTCCAAAACTTCTTCGAGCTCCAGAACTTCCTTTGAGCGGCCAGTTTTTTCCAGGGCGTCCTGCAACTCCACCGTCAGTAATTTACAAACTAATAATAAATAAATAAAACTTTAGAATCCGACTGAGGTTTCGTTACAGAGGCAAACTTTGCACTAGGGGATACTTTAAATAAATTACATTATAGAATCGTTTTTTAAAAAGATTCATATTCAACACCTAAGGGGCAAATGAAAGGATGATACTTTATGTTTCTTACCCTCGCATTTATTTGGTAGTCGCTCCTCTTGGTTTGCCAAGACGAGGCTGAACATACAAATAAAGAAAATGGCAAATATTTCCATAGTGACCTCTGTTTACAAATTTGGAATCAGTAGGAGTTCACATTAAAGCCACATCGACATTTTTTGAGAATGGTTCGGATTAGTGGAACAGAGCATGTGTAACGGAGGCCAGCGAGTAGGTGCTGTGCAGGTAAACCTCACTAGACGCACTAGCGACTGATGCTAGTGGCTGCGGTCTTTAGCCTCCTTGTTAGTGCATCCGCCTCCCATGCCGGAGACCCACTCGGAACAAGAACGAGGTGTGGTGGTGAGGAACCGGGAAAGAGGGGTTACATTGGTGCCGTGACCCGGGTGGGAGTGAGGTTTAGGGGGGTGAGTGTAACGGAGGCCAGCGAGTAGGTGCTGTGCAGGTAAACCTCACTCCCCTGATCTCAAGAGACGCACTAGCGACTGAAGCTAGTGGCTGCGGTCTTTAGCCTCCTTGTTAGTGCGTCCGCCTCCCATGCCGGAGACCCGGGTTCGAGACCCACTCGGAATGAGGTTTAGGCGTAGCTAATCGATAGCACAAATCGTTGAGCTTAGTTCCAGAATCCCCGCAAAGATAAAAAAAAATAAAATTAAGCAACGTTTACTGGTCAAAGTAAAGAAAACCTAAGACGTAAGACAAACAGAAGATTGTGCAATAGGTTCATTCATTAACATTAATTCTTAGGATACACTGAGACTATGAAATAAGCGCGTCATGTTACAGACACATCCTTAATTTAATTTCTATGTTGGCAATTCAGCTGAGCAATATTCACTTCTCTCAAAGAGAAGAGTCGCTTCTCTGAAAGTTAAAACATAAAGGCCGATCCACTCCAATGCTCTAGTCAAAGGCTATTATTGATATAGAACATTAATCATATGACCTTTTGGCTGTCAAGAAGACAGAAGCAGTATCTGTTTAATCTATTGTCCCACCTGACGGCCTGTCAGGGCAGCACCGGTGTTGTCGATTTGTGCTACCCTGTCAGATTTTGCTACCTCCCATTAAAACAGTGGGTAGTACAATTCGACAACGAAAAATGCTACCTGTAAAATTATGTTTTATTAACGTCTACACCTACCCCAACCCTAAACCTACCCTTACAGTAATGCAAATACAGTAATTATGTGTTATATTCGCGGTTGCGGCTAGAAGGGATACAGCTATACAGGAAACCAACAATAAATAATTTTTTCTACATATTAGATCGTGTTTTATTAAAGTCTACACCTACCCCAACCCTAAACCTACCCTTACAGTAATGCAGATACATTAAATATTGTTGTTCAGCGTGAGAAAAAAAAACGCAATATTGATGTGCGCATGCGCAGTAAACCCTGGTAGGACAATCTGACGGGTAGGATAAAATGTCAGGACACCTGATTATCCAGTGGGCATTATGGGCACGGGCCCAAGCGAGGGGAAGAAAAATTTTCGGAGTGTCTTTACACTAAGTGCAAATAGCGCGCTTGTTGACAAATGCTAATTACACTAACTCAGCCCAACAATGTCTGGTTGGGACACTCAATATTAAAAAAAGATGCATTCATTTCAAAATCTTCAGTGATGTAGGCAGTAGAGAGTAAGACTGTAGGAACTGGCTTTTGATGCAATCAACCCAGGTTCGAATCTGCCTTTTGCGGAGTTATATATAATCATTTACAGTCTATTATTGCATCCTGTTAATGTACAAAATACTGTATCTGCCAACATAATATATAGATAGCGTAATTACTATGTATTACACTTATTGCAAAGATTGCTGCTGATTGCTGCTGCAAAAAGACATTGTGCCCAGGGGCCTCTGAATTCTTAATCCAGGCCTGTCTGTATTTATAACAGTGACATGTAGATTGCATTAACTCAGCTGGCTGGCACTCAGTTTACAAGCCATTCTGTCATCTGTAAAAGCCATTTGGTAAAGATACAAAACAGTGTTTCTTTGCAATAGTTTATTTGTATTAATATGTCTCAAGTAAGAGATTAGCTATAGAAGTGTGTGTGCCTTCAGAGGGGTGTCTGGGTGCATTACCCGGCTCTGGGCCCTCTTGAGGATTCAGGTGTCAGGTGCCACACATTTATTGACAGCCGATATGGTATGATGAACCTTCTGGCGGGTGCCTGAGGGAGGGGATTGAAAAGCAAAGGAGAGAGAATGATGAGAGAGAAGACAAATCCAGACAGAGGACTGAGATAAGTACTACGTGAGAACCTGGGAATACCCAGAGTGAACAAGAAGGCCAAATCATGAGTGAGACTGTGGGTGATTATGCATATGAATGCACATGTATGCAGGGGGAGCTGCATGCCTAATTAAGGGATTTTGAAAATAGAGATAGCCCATGTGATGATGTGAGAGTGAGAGACACAGAAAGACAGCAATGAGGGAGACAGGTGGCAGTGGGAGAAGAGTTGCGCTCAGCATATTCATCTGAGGTTTCAGGGTTAGACAGGGGGCATAACCGAACACACTTTTTAAAGAAAAGGAGGGGGGAAAAAAGAGAAATCTTCAAAGAGAAAATATGCATAAAGACAATTAGATGGAACAAAAGCAAATACGTTTCATACATTTTAATGCCTTGTAAAGTTTTCATTGCAATGTTTACACATTTTGTGGTAAATATTTTATGCACAAATGTAGGCAAGTGGCCCTTCTTGGCTGTTGTGTGTCTTAATAGGAACCTTTTGTTTCACTGCAAGCTGATAGTGTGTTTTATGTGTGGATGTGTGCACACACTAGTCTCAGTATCAGTAATTGTTTGTAAAGTCACTGTGTTTTCAGCTAGACTGGCTGGACGGATGGAGTTACATTCCCAAACATACGACAGTCCTCATGCAGGTAGACAAAAAAAAGATGTAAAGGCACTTGACATACACAGCATTACATGTTATGAAAATAAATATTATATTGAAAATGCAAATGAATGCCAGAGCATATACCTATTTAGAAGACGCAAGGATATACCTGGTCTACTGCACAAAACCTGGTTGTCACAGCGATGTCAAACAGAAAGGGAACACCTGCTAAGCTGATCCTGTTATATTAGACACATGGACACTACTACTGCAAAATGACTGATGGCCGAAGTCTTACACTTATCATCCTGTATAAATACACGGTAAATAACTGCTTTACCTGAAAATACCTTGATACATTATCACGAGGAACATTTTACGCCAAAGCAAAGCAAAAAAGCAAAGGTGAGGTACTATGTATCTATTTGTCAGTGGGTTTGAAGTTAGTCTTCAATATAAATTTTTCAGTGTTAATTCATACAGTCGGTTTATTATATATATATAAGGAATGTCCACCAGAGCTGTTGCCCGTGAATTGAATGTTCATTTCTCTACCGTAAGCCGTCTCCAAAGACGTTTCAGAGAATTTGGCAGTACATCCAACCGGCCTCACAACCTATATATATTTATTTATTTATTTATGCATTTATTTATTTATGCATTTATGCATTTATTTATGCATTTAGCAGACACTTTTATCCAAAGCGACTTACAGTGCATTCAGGCTATACATTTTTTTACCAGTATATATATATATATATATATTAATATTCATTCAATCAAATTATATTACCATGTAATTTTAACCGTTTAATTTCCAAGTGCTCAACTCATATATATTCTCAACTCAGGCTGCACTTCATGGAAATTTTTAATTCTATTATAATTTTATATGCTAATATGATTTGGAGGAAACGCTTAAATGGTTTTGTGACTCTACGGCTTCATAGCAACATGTTTATATGGATTTTATGTTGCACTGCAAAAGTATTCAGACCTTTAAGCAGTTTTCTTACATATAAATCTTGATGAAATTAGGTTCTTTATGATATTTAAATGTTTGAGAATTGAAACACAACATTTATTTTAATGTGGCATTGTTTCAGGTTTGCAGATATTTTGAAATAAGGTGTTTGCAAAAAGATTCAGTCCTGTTGTAGAAGTCCTAGGGTTAGACAGATGAAAAACAATTGCTCTAACAAGGACCCAATTGTCTTACAATTGGCCTCCATATGTGAATCATTAAAATAACTACCATTTCCTGACAACTCCACTGTCAAGCATAATTATTCTGGTTCTGAGGTGAAAATGTTGTCCAAAGAATTTTCTGGTCAAGTTGGTTTTTAGTCATAATTCAAAGACACTTACAGTGCATTCAGGCTATACATTTTTTTACCAGTATATATATATATATATATATTAATATTCATTCAATCAAATTATATTACCATGTAATTTTAACCGTTTAATTTCCAAGTGCTCAACTCATATATATTCTCAACTCAGGCTGCACTTCATGGAAATTTTAAATTCTATTATAATTTTATATGCTAATATGATTTGGAGGAAAAGCTTAAATGGTTTTGTGACTCTACGGCTTCATAGCAACAAGTTTATATGGATTTTATGTTGGACTGCAAAAGTATTCAGACCTTTAAGCAGTTTTCTTACATATAAATCTTGATGAAATTAGGTTCTTTATGATATTTAAATGTTTGAGAATTGAAACACAACATTTATTTTAATGTGGCATTGTTTCAGGTTTGCAGATATTTTGAAATAAGGTGTTTGCAAAAAGATTCAGTCCTGTTGTAGAAGTCCTAGGGTTAGACAGATGAAAAACAATTGCTCTAACAAGGACCCAATTGTCTTACAATTGGCCTCCATATGTGAATCATTAAAATAACTACCATTTCCTGACAACTCCACTGTCAAGCATAATTATTCTGGTTCTAAGGTGAAAATGTTGTCCAAAGAATTTTCTGGTCAAGTTGGTTTTTAGTCATAATCAAATGCAGACTCAAATTTACATCGAAATCATTTGAGAACAAAAAGGTGAATGTTCATCAATGGGCCAGTCAAAACCCTCAGTCTCAGTCCAACTGATGATCTGTTACAGATTTTGAAAATTGCAGTGCATCAGTGTTATCTGACTAACCAGAACAACCTGGTGCAAATCTGCATAGACAAATAAGCCAAAATCAAAACTGAACAGTATGTGCTGCAAGCATTGTCC